TTGCTACTATTTCCATCAGCAGGTCATGGTGGCCAATCAGCACTCTGCACCTGATAATGATTTGTTCGGAAAACTACAAAAAAGGCCTTGACTTCATCACGTAGCAAAGAAAACAACACATTTATCCATCAAACTGGAGTCTACACCTTCTACAATTCTACATTTTTTGTGTGATAGGCAGCAGAATTGTTTTTTTGTGGCAAGCAGATCTACCTCAGGGTTTCTGGCAACAGCTTTCTTGCATGTGAGATGGTGCCTTGCAGATGTTTCCTCAATCTGGGATGTTTTTTTCACTCTATGGGAGGACATGCATGTGTCCAGCCAGCTTTAGTGGGCCGGTTTGGAAGGTGTGTCGTCCAGCTGGAGCAAATCTGGTTCTGTTGGGGAGTTCTGATTCCCCAACAGGATGGGCATGGTTTGTCTGAAGCAACCAGCAAATGATTGCTTTCAGTTTTGACAATGGTGCTTGGCAAAAGTATTTGTACCCTTTGAATCGATTCATGTTTTTTCACAATACAACCACAAAATGTATTTTATTCAGCTTGCATAACATAAATCAACACAAAGTAGTGCACACTGAAGAATGATACATCATATTTTTTGTGTTTTATGTTCTTGTGGGTAAAATAAGTATTGAACACATCACAGTTTTTCTTAGTAAACATATTTCCAAGGGGGCCAATGACATAAAATTTTCACCAGGTGTTGGTAACATTCCATGTACTCCGTACACAGAAAGAAACCAAAACAAATAATTAAAGAAACTAACTTATGTGTAATAATGTGAAGTGGCACAGGAGGAAAAGAATTGAACACACTTACTGATATTTATTTAATACTTTGTACAAACGTATGTGTTGGTCATAACAGATTCAAGACAGCCCTTGTATGGTGGAACTGTAGTCACATGTATTGTTCGATACTTATTTTACTCATTCTATGTGCAATCAGTCTGTCTTTCCTGCTCTTTTTCTTGGTGTTCATGATGCTGTTGGTTTTACTAGAGTTAATTATATTAGAGTAGGATAGACTGAATACAAAAGCATGCCATACTTCAGGTTTTTGTTCATAGAAATTATGTTGAAACTATTTATTCTTTTCAGTTAAATTCACAATTATCAGCTTCTTTATTTTGCCACATAAAATGTGACTAAATCATATTGAGGTTTGTGGTTGTAATGCGACAAAATGCGATGAAAAAAATCCTTGACATTTTATTTTATCTGCCTTTTTTATTTTTCATGAGAAATTGTGTTGCTATCAGCAAAAAGACAATGATACAAACAGTCTTTTCATCTTCTGGAAGCTGCTCATTCAAATATGAATATGTCAAGGTCAATGTGCCTGGTAAACAATCACAAGCGTATTAAGATCACATGTCTGGGAGTCTGCTCACACAGTCATGTTTTTTGGTGCCAGTTATTTTCACACTGTGAGGTTCAGCCCGAGTTATTGCGTGAGAGGAGAGGGACCAGTGAAAAGACTGTTATTATCACTGTCAGCTCTCGAGCTGCAGCATCAAAGTTCAGGCTCAGATGCATTCAAATGTGAACATACTCAAATGATTCATTCTCATACAATGGGACCTGGAATGCCACTGTGTCTGACGCACGGCTGCATTTCCATGAATCTGGGCAATCACAGCAAACATGCATGAAAATCGCTGTGTTTGTTCTGTAACACAATAATCAAGTCAAGGCTGTTTGTACATCCTGTGCAAGCAGGGGCTTCTAAAGTTAACAGCAAATTTACAATGCTTTGATCATGTCAGCTTGAAGAAGTGCAAACGTTTCAAATGTAAGCATGAAGCACAGCAGGTGTGACAAAATGCATTAATGAATCCAGCATGACTGAAGTTCAGAACGCCTTACCATAAATCAGGCTTGGGCTGTTTTTCTGTTTGTGTCTGTTGTACACCGTTCAATGTCAGAGATGTCCCTGCAGTGGAAACCCATTAAAACTAGAAAGAATTACATGCTCAACTTGAATTCCCATCCCGTCAACACATTTTTGTAGTGAAAGACTGAGACGTATGGCAGCGTGTCTGAGAGCACAGTCTGAGATCAGCTTCGATTTGCTGTGACCAAGGATGAAGACTGCAAGCGACAGTCCAGTCCGGATGAAGCTCTGTGGAGAGCCGTGTGAAATTTCACATGACGTGGAGGCCAGGGCCGCGGACAGCTGAGAAATCCTCCTCAGGGATAAATCCCTGAGACTCGAAATCCAGTCCGTTGCATGGCTAAGCCAAAAAGTTTCCTTAAAGGACTTTCCAATTAGTTCAAGTTCCTTGTAATGAATCCCATAAATTTGGGCACATTGTGATAGGAAGCTTAAAAAGTAGCCCATTGACATATTAAATGAGTTCCCTTTTTAAATTAATCAAAATTATGTTCTTTAGTATTTTTACTCTCATGAGTTTCACTGGATAATCAGAGGGAAATAAAGCTCTACTTCCACTACCTTTATGTAATAGTTTCAGGATGAATGTTATAGATTTATGTATTTACGAGATCTGCTCCTCATCTAGGAAAATTTTCACTTATCCATTTGAATTCAGTTTAATTTAAATTAATTTTATTTAGGTGAGGCATTTAAAAAAAGCTAATCTAAATCAAGTTACATTCAGTCTATTCATTTCAGTCAGTATTCATTTTTAACATCCGGCCAAATACAAACATTGCAAATCTATCCAATGCTACAAAGCAAATGTCAGTCTAAGGAAACCTATAGATTATAATTTATTTTGGGATTTCCTAACAAGGTGGTTCCAGTGCCAAACCAGAGCTGTTGCCCAGTTCTTTACGTTTACCACATCTCTTCCAAAATATATTAAATATATTACTTGTATTCTAAATTGTTGTACAAGATAACAGTGCAGACAATTTATTTACGTGGAGCACCATATTTGGCTTATCATTTTCTACAATTGTCTTTTGATCACCAGCGTAATCTTTAAATGCATGGGGCAGTTACTCGTATCAAGGTGTATTGAGGTTTGATTGTTTCAACAAACCTATTCCGTCATGCTCTTCCTGCAGTTCAGCCCCTTAAGGACGAATGATGCTAATTAGCCTCATACGCGTTTTGTTGTGAATATAGCACATGAACACCACAAATGTTGGTTGAAACGCATGCCAATCGTTCTCCATCCATCCATTTTCTTTACACCCTTGTCCCTCAGTGGGGTCGGGAGGGTTGCTGGTGCCTATCTCCAGCTATCGTACCGGGCGAGAGGTGGGGTACACCCTGGACAGGTTGCCAGTCTGTCGCAGGGCAACACAGAGACAAACAACCACGCATACACACACTCACACCTAGTCATGTTTTTGGACTGTGGGAGGAAAACGGAGTACCCGGAGAAAACCCACGCATGCACAGGGAGAACATGCAAACTCCATGCAGAAAGACCGGGGTCGGGAATCGAACCCAGAACCTTCTTGCTGCAAGGCAACAGTTCTACCAACTGCGCCACTGTGCAGCCGCCAATCGTTCTGAGGATACTATTTTATCTAGTGGTCAGAGTTACAACTACATGTCGTTCAGGGAAGCGAACGTGGGCAATGGACAGGCTACATGTAATTTGGCTGATAAGCTCGGTAAATAATCTTAATTGTGAGCTAGATTGCGCAATAAACGTGACCAAAATTAAACAAGTTATTTTCTAACTTGTTATTTTCTAACCCTAATTTTGGGTTTTAAGCTTTTTAGTGACATGAGGAAACTAAGGAATGGAAATGAGTGATACTGGTACTAATAAGCGAAATATAAAAATCAGGTATAGTTGTAAAAATTTTAAATTTAAAGGAACAGGAATTAGTAATAATTAAAGAAGCTTAAAAAAAGTATGCTTTGACTCAATTTCAAAGTCCTGTTTCATTCTAGCATGAGTAATAATTGTTTTTTGTTTAATTATCTTAAAACTATGATATAAATCTGCAGAAATATTTGTGTGTATTGGTTTATTCTTCCAATAATGGCAAAATTATCCTCTATTTCCGCTATTTATGTAATTCTAGCCAAGACCTATCCTGCACTGTTGTAAACTAAGCTCATGATGTAACCTGGAAGAACACCAGCAGCAGGTTTCTGCTCATGTCAGTGCTCATATTTGAGTTTTGGTGAGAAAAGGTCGAGTCAAAGCCATTCCCACATGCCTTTATGGAGCCTTTTGCTCTTTCCCTGGTGCATTCTGTGAAGAAGAGGAGCTCAAGCATCCTCTGAGTGGCCACTAAAACTCTCCTCTGCATGTAATTGTAGATGCAACTGAACAATCAAAACGGAACACTGAAGCAAATTTTTGACAGCAGAGTCTAAATCCCCTGTGAAGAGCAGGAGAAGACGCTCTAAGCCACAGGTGCTGAGTGTAATATTTATTTAAAGGGAAAAAGGCTGCACTTGTAGACTCAGTACACTTCCCTGTGGATTTTGTCCTTAGCTCGTTGCGAATCCCTGCAGGGTGCTTGACAGCCTTCTTGGTGAATGTCCAGCTCTGTGTGTGTTGCTCATATAAAGGATTTTCATAGAGAAGAAAATAAACGGGCTTGACTGTGCATTCATTTTGTTTGTGCCTGATTGCTAAAAATACCAGAGATATTTCTGGTATCCTTGTGGCTTTGGTTGTTTTAATGCAAATGCTGAATTTGTTTGTTTTTATTAATAATTTGCCACATTTGGAATAACATATTCACAGCCAATAACATGGTGGAAACTAGGAGCCAGCTACGCTTGGATTTAAATTATGTTTACTTTGCGTATCCCTTGGCTGAACTGACTAATGGTGGTTTGTTTTAAATATTTATGAAGCACGTCGCACACTGTACTTACACAATGCTCTCGGTGTTATATAGAAACCACTGATGCAGCAGCAGACTGTATCAGAAACCATGTTCTAATAGTCTCTTTCTTTCTCTCTGTGTGTGTCCTCTCTCACCCTTGTAATCACCATCTGTTTGTCCATATTGTGTGATCCTCTGCTTCTGGTCCCTGCGGCTCACCACCAGACGCTACTTTTGGCCTTGTGCTCGCTGTGTTTCTTGTTTGCGGCCTCGTTCTGCTGGGCCTTCTCACGTTTGTCTCCTGGAAGCTCTGCTGGGTGCCTTGGCGGAGCAAGGCCCAGTTCCCAAGCCCGTCTCTCAGCCCGGCCTGTGGCCCGCAGCACTGCCCGCTCCAGCCACCCCTCCCGCTGGCCAGTCCCCAGCAGCAAGCGATCACCATGGCGACAGAGAAGGTGAAAGACCCCGTGGGTTCGATGGGCTTCCTGGAGGCGGCCGTGAAGATAAGCCATACTTCCCCCGACATCCCCGCCGATGTGCAGCTCTCCATGAGGGAGCACTTCCTGCGCCGCACACAGCGCATGCAGAGGCAAACCACTGAGCCGGCCTCCTCCACACGGTTAGTGTCACACACACACGCATGCAAATGCAGACCTCGCTGCATATAAAACTGTCAGGTATGGTTTGTTCATATAAAAATATGTCTAGGGTTGCATGCTGGCTGTGAATGCACACTGCAAAAACACAAAATCTTATCAAGTATTTTTGGTCTAGTTTATAGAGCAAATATCTTAGTACACTTTGAACAAGACAAAGCTAACTTTTCAGCAAAGCTTGTTTTAACTCAATAATTACTTAATACTGATGAAAAAGTACTATTTCTAAGTAAAATAATCTGCCAGTGGAACTAGAACTAGACTAAAAATATTGTTCCACTGTTTGTTTATTTCACTGACAACTAGTGCTTTTTCCTCAATATTAAAGTATTATTAACTTACAACAAGCTCATATTTCTTGATGAAAAGTTACTTGTAAGTTAGTTTTATGTTATTTCAGGTGTACTAAGATATTTGCACAAGAAACCAGACTAAAAGTACATAGTACGGTTTTATGTTTTTGCAATGCAGACTTTTTACAACATGAATTGTAGACGTTCCATTCACTACAAAAACACAAAATCTTACATATTTTTGGTCTAGTGTCTAGTCTTAATTTATTTTTACTCTTGAAACAAGCAAAATAATTTTACAAGCAACTTTTCAGCAAGCTATAGGAGAGAAGAGAGAGAATATTTCAATATTGATGAAAAAGTACAAGCTCCTTTGGCAGATTAGTTAATTTATAGCATGGAAAAATGTATTTTCATACTGAAATGATCTGCCAACGGAACTAGGACTTTTTCATCAAGAGATCATAGTAAGGAATTATTTACTTAAAACAAGCTTGTACATCTTACTGAAAAATTACTGTACTTTGTCTTATGTTAAGTGTACAACTATATTTTCTCTAGAAACAAGACCAAAGTACTTGGTAAGATTTTATGTTTTTGCAGAGTTAGTAAATATAAATAATGCAAATTAGAAGCAACCTCAAGCTGCAGCACATTTTCACGGAACAGTCGCCGTATAACTAATATGAGAGAATTACATTTTCAAAGCAAGTTGGTTCTGCAGAGATTAACTTAATATACATTGTGGTTGTCGAACATAATTCAGCCGCAACTCTCTGTGGGTCATTCTCATAAAGCTGATATGAGTCCTCAAACTAATTAATGAAACAGAGTACACAAACATATGCTGCACCAGAAGCACTTTGCAGCATATTTGGAGCAGACTAAGAAGCCAATATCAGTTTTTTTTAAGCCTGTTTTATTGCACCTTCCACACTTATTAGCACCCTGGGTGAATATGTGTCAAAATCCTTGAAATAAATTTAACCTTTATTAAAGCCGCATAACATCATACTGAAAAATGTAAAAAAAAAAAGAAAAAAGAAAAAAAAAAAGAAATCTCACCCTTAATTTTTGAGCATTTTCATGAATTGTGTTAAAAATAACAGTTTCTAATAAAATCTTTGTCGTTACAATGATTGGACAAATTGAACAAATTCTATTATATGTTGGTAACACATTTTCATTTAATTCACACTTTACTTTTTTTGTTTCATCATCATCAGTTAATTCAGTTAGTAATCCACGACTTTCAACTTACCCGGAGCACAGATAGGACATGACACAGACATTTAACTACTGAGCTTGGCCACAGCCTGACTCATTGCTTCAGGAGTTTTGATATTGTGGTGAATAATCAAAATTAAAGCTATGCTTTTAAAAACAAAATACATAAAATTCCACCAGACAGTTACACTATTCTTCCAAATGGTTTCACATGACAAATATCAATATATTATGAACTGTCTAAACTGTTTATGATCTGTTTAACACAAACACAATTATGTTTCATTCATTGAAGAAGTTTGTTTCTGATTGGAAATGGGATAGCCATCTCTCAAAAAGACTTTAAAATACATAAAAAGACGAACAGGGCTCATTCACACCTGCTCTGTTTAATCTGCTTTAATCAAGCTCTAGAAAGTCCAACTTTGGTCCACCTTGCAGTTAAAGAGCTTAACTTCCTTTTCTTGTAGAAGTTAAGCTCATCTCACTGCGGACAGTTCCAGCATCTTCCAGTTTACGATAGGGTTGAGCTTTGGTGGTTCCCAGGTTGCTCTTCAACATCCCAACCAATTTCCTTTCAGCTGAGGCTGACACTTTGGGTGAGATGAGTCAAAGCTTTCAACACAGTTGGACGTTCCAACACATCAATGATCTCAAACAGACTTTTAGAAGCAGGCTAACATTAAGCTTCTGAAATGGTCACAACTTCAACCTCCCAGGAAACCAACCACTTTAAATAAGCTCTTTTATTTTTGATGAGCATGGTCAAATATCAAGCCAGAGTTATTTCTATTAACTTAATATCCATAAAAAATATTTGATAAAGACATGCAACATAATATCAGTGGGCGTGTATGTATATATTCGAAGCTGTATTGATAATTTTGAGCCTGATTGGATCTGAATTTTATTATTCATTAAACTTATTTGTTGTATACCACACCAAAAACAGAAGAATTCAAATGCATATAAAAAGCCCAACGCAAATGTTACGTTCATGTCAGTGAAGGAGCTTCTGACCAGCACTGTGTTTCAAACCTTTAAGCTTTAAATAAAGGCGAAACCAACACAAGAAATTTGAATAGAGCGTCTTACCTAACAACCATAACATCTTGGTAGAAAAAGTACATTAAAATCTTTTCTGTATGTGATTAAAGTCAAGAACCATGGTTATGTTGTGTGTAATTGCTAGGCATATTTAGATTTTCTTTTTATCAGAGATACATGTGCCGGCAGGATTGTTAGAGTCTGTTGCTAAGAGTGAAAAAATCCTCTGCCCTTTGTCAACAAGAGTGGGTCTGTGCCTGTTAATTAAACAAATCCCACAGTTATTCCCTGCATTCTCACTGCAGCTGTTTAACACAAACGCCATCTAATCATTTCTGTCTCTTCAGGCACAATTCATTCAAAAGACACCTCCCCAGGCAGATGCAGGTGGGCAGCTTAGATCTGGGAAACGACTACGTGGTGGACAGGGAAGAAAAGCCAACCAGCCTGGGTCGCATCCAGCCAGAGCTCTACCAGCAGAAGGGCTCGGAGTCAGAGGAATCGTCCAAGAATGGCGGCGAAAAAAACTGTGGCAGGATTAACTTCTCGCTCAAGTATGACTACGAAAATGAGGCGTTGCTTGTCAATATTCTCAGGGCCGTTGACCTACCTGCCAAGGACTTGTGTGGCACCTCTGACCCTTATGTGAAGGTCTACCTGCTGCCTGACCGCAAGAAGTTCCAGACGCGCGTCCACCGGAAGACGCTCAATCCCACGTTCAGCGAAAGCTTCCAGTTTCCTGTGCCTTATGACGAGCTGCCCGTCAGGAAGCTACACATGAGCGTCTTTGACTTTGACCGATTTTCCCGGCATGATATGATCGGGGAAGTGGTGCTGGAGAATTTGTTCGAGATGTCGGACCTGTCGAGGGAGACGAACATATGGAGGGACATCCAGTATGCTACAAGTGTAAGAATCGGCTTTGTTCTTTTTCATACTTTAGGTCCATCAATCTATTCATCCATTGTCTACCATTGTCTATAACCACTTATACACAAATAGACTTTTGATTGATGGCTAGAAAATGGAAAGTTGACATTTTGCATGGTTTTATACTTCTATTTGGCTTTCAACTGCTTCTGAAAACAGCCATAATGCTTTAAAGACACCAACTGCTTTTTGACAATAAGTTAATGTTTTTTGGTGTCTGGAAAATGAGCTGTTTCAAAAATCTCCCGATTGTTAAGTTACATTTGAAGGGCACTGTGCTGTGGCCTAGTAATCCCAGCTAAACCCAACCGAAGCAGATCACCATGATGTTTGGTCAGCTGGTTTTACTGTTTTATGCGCTGTACAGAGTTTTGTTGGAGACTTACCATCCAGAAACCAATTGCTGAATTCTTGTTGGTTGTGCAGAAGGCTCCACTTCGACTTTTCAAAGACGCACCAATGAATAATTGTGCATCTGTTTGCAGCCATTTTCATATGCAAGTATAAACGTTGAGTCGCAGGGCGTGGCCAGCAGCAGGTTATTTGGATTTAAATTGACAGGAAGACCTAAAACAGTTCTGGAAGGAGATAAAATTGTCTAGGACTGATTTTCTGCAAAAAAAAAAAAAAAAATTATGAAAATGTTTTGTATAGTCCATAGACTGATCCTGACTTGTTCAAGTTAACATAATAGATCAACTTTAAGTAAAATCAGGTTTGCTGCTGTAATATGGCAAAATGGGGAACAGTTCAAGGTGCTCTACGTAAACTGAGCAAACATGTATTGTAATTATTTTATTACTTACATTTGGTACTACTATAAGACACAGATTAACATTGCAGATATCCCTTTTGGGTATTCAGATAACTATTAATCCTCTATTTTTCAAAATATTATTTTTTCTTCTGTGTTGCATGGTGGCACAGTTGGTAGTAAGTGCCAGGTAGACCCAGTTTAGGATCTTTCCTGTTTGGAGCGTTTAAGTTCTTTTTGGGTACTCCAGCTTATTCTCACTGTTCAACATCTTGAATGTTAGATTAATCAACTACACTAAATGTCCCTTAGACATGTGTGTACATGGCTGTGTGTCTCTGTGTTGCCTGTAATAGATTGCCAAATGACTGCTGGAGATACCAGCCCCTCACAACCCTGCAAGGACAAAGAGGTGTAAATGATGAATGGGTGGTTTTTCTCAACCAGATAAGATAATATTTAAGCTGCCTCTAAGAGCTGCTTATTAACTTACAAAGCTATCTGATTAGTAATTTCTACACACAAATGCTCTTCAGCTGCACATCTATATTTCTCAGAACTTTGAGTTTTACACGAAAGTCAAAAAGGTACATTTATCAAATGTATATGCATATTTAATTTATTTTCGGACTGTAGTTTCTTTAAAGTACAGGGTTTTTGGGTTATTGCACCTCTTGAAAGGATTATAAAATCTGTTAGTATTTTCTCTAATTTCAAGGCTGTTATAGTTTGTATTTCATCCATCCATTGCCATTTGCAATTTTGCTGCTAACCTTTAAATTTACACTCGATGCACAGTCGTATTTTGATGCTCAGCAAGCACTATGCATCTCCTCAAGGAGAGGAGGAAGTGTAGATGTGAGCTTCTGCAGTAGTGCTAAGATGGGTTCCAGTGAGAAAATTACAGCATATTAATGTACATTTGGTGTTTGAAATTTTAAAATAGGCAGTTAGAAGCATTTTAGAGGGATTCTTAAACTGATACCAGAGATTCACGGTAATTGTTTTTCCAAAACCCTGATGCCAATGTATTTACACATCTGCTATTTAAACCTTGACCAATCCACTTTTGCTAACTATGTGGTAACCTGTGTTTTATTGCACATTATTGGGGCATGCAGCTTTAGGTCTGGAGCCAGCTATGCCTATGGAAGGGTTAGGGTTGATTTGGAGTTTTTTCTGGTAATTTTATTCTTCTGAAAGTCCCAGTGAGGAGCTATTTTCAGTTTATCTGGCAGAGATCACCAGACTATATCCTGGTATGTAATTTGTTAGAAACCTTTCACTCTAACCAGGCTTCCAGGGCCTTTGGAGGAGAAATTGAATGGAAATATTCATCCTCTGTTTTTCATCAGGCACACAATCAGAAGCATCTAGCAAACTCCACCTTTGCTTTTGTGATGGTGGGGCTGAAAAGACTTTGTGTTCTACGTGTCCCAAACAGACAGCCGTTTTAATTGTTTTAATGATTTGATTGGATTTAACAAAAATAAAGAATCAGTCTGGGATTATGTGACTGCAAATAAAAGCTTTTTGTAGATTTTTATCAGAGGTGCCAATAAGATTGCAGGGTGAGGGGAGGCTGTGTGTTACACTCATAACTTTTAAAGTAAGTTTTGTGGCTTCGTAACAATTTCCAGAGGCCGTTTTCAAGAATGACATGTTTACTTGTTGGCAGCACATTAGGCGCCTCGGAGCCCTTGTCATTTTATCACCTCCACATTATCTGACAGGTCCCCTCGCTCCTGCTGTTGAACTTCTTCAGGGGTTGTTAAATAATCTCAACATTATTGCTTTGCGGGCAGAAAAGCAGGCATCCTTTCTTGGCACACTAACTTAATTGAACCACCGATTGATTTTATGACAAAACGCCTTGCTGCCATCAACTCCAGGATAGGTAACATAAAGAATGCACAGATGGTGAGTGTTCAAAAAGCAGCTGTACGACGGTGAAAGACTTAATGAGTGCAAAAGATACCAATATTGAGGTATCTTTTGCCCTCTTGGATTATCTGATTGGAGGGAGATATTTACTGATAGCCTCAGCTCAGATAAAGATTACAAGCACTGCAGATAATAGAAACATATTGATTTCAAGCAATTTGTCCTGTGCATTTGATCAATACAAAATATTATCAGAACGATTTCACTGGCTAATCGCATGTATGAATAGAGGTGACTATTGATCAGGAAGCAATGAATACTAAAGGTGACGTATATGAAATTAATAAATACATTATAAGGATGTAATAAAACAGAAAATCAATTAGATTTCAAACACGTTTAAACCTGAAAAAATGTTTTTTTCAAATGATTTTTGAAAACATTAGAGGATCTTATAGGCTGTATTGCTTTTTCCAGTTTACTATGGTGCGACTAGTGCTAATGTGTGATTCTGACAGATCATAAAGGTCACACAGATGTGATCCAGGGCCTGGCTTCATTTTTAATTATTCATGGGACTTTAGTGGAGCTCCAAATGTCAAAGGTACACAGATCAATATTAGTAGGTCACCAATTCCCGTTCAGGTATATTTTCAGGTTTTTTTAAGCAAAGGACACTATAAGTATGGTCCAAAAGTGCAATAGTTTTATTTATAAAAAAAAATTCCCCTCTCACCCTCCGTGGGTGGTCTCTCTCTTTCATCCTCTGAGCTCGGGTCCTCTACCAGAGGCCTGGGAGCTTGAGGGTTCTGCGCAGTATCTTGGCTGCACATTTCTGGACTGAGATGTCTGATGTTGTTCCTGGGACCTGGGATCTGTTTTAGCCACTGCTCCAGTCCGAGGGCCCCGATGACCACAGGCACCACTGTGGTCTTCACCTTCCAGGTTTTTTCCAGTTCCTCTCTGAGGCCCTGGTATTTCTCCAGTTTCTCGTGCTCCTTTTTCCTGATGTTGTGGTCACTTGGTATTGCTACATCCACCACAACGGCTTTCCTCTGTTCTTTATCCACCACCACAATGTCCGGTTGGTTCGCCATTACCATATATATATATATATATATATATATATATATATATATATATATATATATATATATATATATATATATATATATACACATACATAGCTTTTTGCGACAGGACTGGTGTGGCCTCGACTTTTAGTGTGTAAACCCCAGTGTTCCTAGAAAAGATTCACGCTGTGCAGATGTTACTGTCATCCTCCTATACAGCCTGCGATTCTACACGGACAACCAAAGTGTCACTTTATGCTTTTATAGCTCTTGATACATCTCTTGATATATTTGCTGTACTCCCACATTACGGGAGAACCTTCCCACCCTTCGAACAGAATCCCACACTGGCACAGCCGAGAAATCCGGATCGCAGCTGTATGTGTGGCGTTAAGACTGCTGCTCTCTGACAGGAGGCTTATGGATTTGCCAATCATCAAAGTTCTTCCCAAGCTCATTCAGTGTGATTAGGGCTCTGTGAGACCTTAATAATGTTGATGGGGCTAAGAGCCCACATATAGCAGATATCAGGACACTCATTCCACTTAATAGTATTAGCTCAGTAAGGACTCCCATAGGACTTTCTTTAAGTAAGCTAGCGTTAATATTTAGGAATGTAGGCAGGTTTATAGGAATATGTTAGATAGAAGAAGGCTAAAATTTCAAATATTCATTGTCTTAAACACATTTCACGCTCAGTTACCTACATTAAAGTATAACGCTGTAGCTTTCATATTTTCTGCTGAAGAGCCTCGAAGGTTTAAAGTGAAGCTGTCTGCTATCTGGTTTTGGTGTGGCACCTTCAGGCTTCTCTTTATCACTTTCATGAGCACCACATGTGCATGACAAATGGAGCAAGTGGAGCAACAACTTTCATTGAGTCAAAAAATAATTCCCTGCAAGTGGACATATTTGCTAACTCTTGTTAAGTGTAATTATGCTTTCCAAATGTTAAAAATCCATCCACCATCTCGACCTGCTTGTCCATGCAAGGTTATTGGGGCGTGGCCAGGTCTCATCAGTCATTAGCTGTGTGCAAAAAAACTGATATTTCACCAATGTTGAAAGAAACACAATTTTGCAATTGTGGTGTTTCCATTAAATAACAAACGCAACTAAAATCACATGTGGATAAGTTTATTTACACGATAAGTCATTGAAGAACATGCTGCGCAATGATCTTCCAACTATTTCTTAATGGTTTGCTCCAATTGTAACATCGGGTGGTTGATCCTTTGGTGTTTTGCAAAATAATAATTTTGATACGG